AAACAATAAGTACTCTTTTGTTAGTGAGACCCACTGTTAGCTGGAGTTCCTGTTACTTGCAACCAAAAGCACTCCTGTGTCATATAACTTCCTCGTAGGGTCGTGGGAATTTGATTAAACCATACTTGTTCAAGCTTAGTGCTGTGCCTGCCATAGTTTTGTGGCAGAAACCAATCAGCTCCAGGTGACCTCTCTCCCTGTCTTCCCCTTGGTGGTTGAACCTGCTGAAGTTTAACTGGCCCCATCTCACATGGCCCCTCGCATTCTTAGGCTGTCCTGCCACTCCTGCAGCATGTGAGTAGAGCACACGTGGTCCTCAGTCATCTCCAGCCTGGGCCATTTACTTATGGACTGTCACACAGTGTGCCTATCTCTGAGTCAGAATCCTTGAGGGACCCCTTGTTGGCATAATTTACCTTGCTTCATTTTTATTTTATTTCACCTTTTAAAAAAATTTTTTGTGACACTGGGGATTGATCCCAGGGGTCCTCTACCACTGAGCTACATTCCCAGCCCTTCTTTGTATTTTTCATTTTGAGACACAAACTTGCTAAATTGCCCAGGTTGGCCTTGAACTTGGGATCCTCCTGCCTCAGCCTCTGGGATCCCCGGGATTATAGGCATGCACCACCATGCCCAGGCAATTTTTTAAAATAAAATACGATAGAAAATATCAGAATACACTTGGAGGGGTGAGTCCTTCTGCAAAACTTCTGTCTGGTGATCGGTGGGTGGATTGTTCCCTCAGGGCATCCCTTGCTCAGGTGATGGTGACAAAATCCAGACGAAACCTTGGCCTTGAAGTTCAGAGCATGAGCCCAGAAAATATGATTCTGCGCCACTCTGAACTGGTCCTTACCTGTTCCCCTCCCCTCTCTAGGGAGATGTGTCTTCATTTAGCCAACTGCCCTGAGCAGAGGCCCCGGCCTCCTGTGTGGGTCCCCTCCCATCCTTCCCATCCTTCTCACAGTAAACCCAACTCCACAGCAAACTCTGCTGATTTTCCTTCAGAATGTATGCATACGCTGTCCCACTTTTGCCACCAGTATCAGGCAGGGTCGCTACAACCCCTGGGTGACAGCTGTCTACCTTCAGGAGGGGAGGCCCCGCCCCAAGGCTCTGCATATCATAGGTGCTGCCAATCACGGGTGCTCCTCCCGGGCTGACTGACAGGCAGGGCTGGCTTTGGAGCCCTTGGGCCTGACATCTGATCTCCCCCAAGTGGGCCCCTCACCTCCTCCTCCTCCATTCCTCCAGCCTGTGGGGCCTCTGAGGTTTGAAGAAGTGGAGCGGGGGCTGGGGGAGGTCTGCCTTGTGCACCAGGCCCGGGGAGTGGGGGAGCTGACACACTGGATGGGGTGGGGGTGGGGGCCTGGTGGATTTCAGACTGTTGTGCCGCCTCCACACTTGACACAGGGCGGGAGCTGAGCTCTCCTGGCGACAATCTGTGCTACCCCTGAGGGACCCACAGGGCTGTGCCTGCTCATCTCTGGGTCACCATCCGTGACTTCAGCGTGGCCAGGAGCAAAGGGATTTGGAGCCATATCATCAGCACACTGGGTGTCATTTAACTGTCCCCAGGGGTTGTTGCTGGACCCGACTGAATGAGACTGAATGTGGAAGGAATTTAGAGTAGCTTTGGGCAGTACTTAGAGCAGCCCGTGGCCATCCAGGGTGAGTCACGGAGGGAGAACTTCACACATCCTCCTGATGTCACTGGTTATGGGCCCCCCACCCCCTAAAATAGGGCAGATTCACTCCTGGGCCTTAACTCATGGCTTGTTAGCTATGAAAAGCATGCTACGGCTGGGCAATCCCAGCGGCTCCGGAAGTTGAGGCAAGAGGGTCGCAAGTTCAAAGCCAGCCTCAGCAAAAGCAGGATGCTAAGCAGCTCAGTGAGACTCTGTCTCCAAGTAAAATACAAAATAGGGCTGGGATGTGGCTCAGTGGTTGAGCACACGAGTTCAACTCCTGGTACCCCCCCCACACACACAAAGAAAGCATGCTATGTCCCTTTCCCTACCCTCTCACTCAGTCTCTCCCAAACTGCCGCATCAGTTCAGAAACCAGGGACATCATTAAAGCCAGGATCGCCTCGCCAGGACTCTCCAAGAAGAAACAACATAAAGAATAAAACTGTTGATTCCCAGCACTGTGGCCCACCTTGCAATCCCAGAGACTTGGGAGGCTGAGGAAGGAGGATTGCAAACTGGAGGCCAGCCAGAGCATCTTAGCAAGGCCCTCAGCAACTTAGTGAGACCCTGCCTCAAAATGAAAAGTACAAAAAGTACAAAGGGCTGAGGATGTGGCCTCATAACCAAAAAAAGAAAAAAAAAAAAGCTGTTGAGTGGACACCCCAACAGCAAATTCCCAGAATTCTTGACTTCTGTTAACTCGCATGGGTTGAGCTTGCTCCTCCTCTCCCATGTGTTCTCTAAACAGCTGCAGCCACTCATCCTTCTCACAAGATAAATGTGAGGATTCAGGGAGAGAGAGAAACATTTGGCCCAGACTGATCGCCCCTCCCTCAAGGTTAAAGTCTCCATGCTGCTCTATCCAAGTCCCAAGAAAAACCTTGTCCCTGGGTTTGTGCCTCCATCTGCCTCTTCTGCTAGAGACCATGTGACTCAGGAGCCAGTCGCAGTTGGACAACTGAGGGGACGGCACCCCAGAACTTGGCACGCAGGCCGCGGCCCAGACCCCTGCTGCCCAGGAAGTCCTTCCATTAGGGTGACCACCGAATAAGGACTCAGTCCGTGTCTTTTCATAACTAGGAAATCCAAGTCTCCCCTCCGGCTCCCCATCTCTGACCAAGAATGAGCCTCCCTGCACGGGGCGAACTGTTTTCCTAAGAGCCTCTCTCCATGGAGGCCGGGAAGCGTGACTTTGAACAGAGGGACTGAAAGCAAGTGGAAGAGGATACAAAAAGAAGAAGAAAGAGAGGCCACCCTCAGCAGATGGCGACACTTCGTTAAGCGGTGGAGAGGTGCATTTTCAAGGGGAAAATAGTGACAGGCTCCAACAACGGGCAGTTTTATAGGGTTTGACAAAGCCAGGTCATGGGGGGAGTAGGTCAATTACCTTTTTTTTTTTTTGGTACCAGGATTGAACCCAGGGGCACTTAACCACTGAGCCATATTCCCAGCCCCATTTTGTATTTTATTTAGAGACAGGGTGGCACTGAGTTGCTTAGGGCCTCACTAAGTTGCTGAGGCTGGCTTTGAACTCGCGATCCTCCTGCCTCAGCCTCCTGAGCCACTGGGATGACAGGCATGTGCCACCCGCCCTGCTGGTCAACTGGTTTTGGTGGGTCAGGTTCATTAACTCCCTTTTTCCCTGAGGGTTTTGTAAGTCTCTGTTTCCTTCAGGGATGACGGGAACCAAACCCACAGAATAAACACTTTTGTGTAATATATTTAAGAAACATTTGGAATGGTTGGAATTAAAACTATTTGTTAAGAAAATCCAGTATTGGGCGCAGTGGTGCACACATGTGATCCCAGCAGCCCGGGAGGCTGAGGCAGGAGGATCTCGAGTTCAAAGCCAGCCTCAGCAACTTAGTGAGGCATTGAGCAAATCCGTGAGCCCCTGTCTCTAAATAAAATACAAAAAAGGGCTGGGATGTGGCTCCGTGGTTGAGTGCCCCTGAGTTCAATCCCCGGTACCAAAAAAAAAAAAAAAAGTGTGACAAATGTGAACCATAAATGTACATCTTCCCAGCTAAATTGAATAATTGAGTAATTCATTATTTTAGATTCGAGTTTTTTTTTTCCACTGAAACATAAATAAAAGAGGTTTTCGGTCTAAGTCAGTAAAGGAAACTAGTATGCTTAACAGACCTTGATATGTTTAATTTATTGTAAGCATTAAGTGCCTGGGCAGGTATTGCTTCTTAGAAACTTCTGTTGAGCTTCCGGAGAAAAATCGAACAGTTTGAATTTGCGAAAGCAGAACATTTCAGGGAATTTAATTAGCTAAGATTCTAAGTGGGACGTGGGGCTGTTGAAGCTCGAGTTGGTTGAACATTAATCAAACAGCTCCTGAAAGTGGCTGTTAAAATTTTCTTAGGTTTATAAATAGAATTAATCCTTGTAAATAGAACTTGGAAGCTTGCGGAAGACAATGTTTTAATTGGTAGCTTTAATACCTTGGAAATTAACTTCAAATATGAAGGCATGAGGCCCTCCTTGGCACAAACGCCTCCCCCGGAGGCACCGGGAAGCTCACGGGGTCACAGTGGTCACCTTTGGGGTCTAGAAGCACCGCTGTCCCCTGCATACATTCAACTGATTTTCCCCTTAGAGAGACAGGCACAGTTAATCGTCCCCATCTTCCGACTCCCTTTTGTCCACACTTGTAGGAGACAGTGTCTATCTGGGAGGGCACTCAAAGACCCCCACTTCCTGGTATTCACACCGTTGTTCACACCGTTGTGGAATCCCCTCCCCCTCAGTGTGAACTGTACCTAGTGACTCACTTGTAACAAAAGGAAAGATGGCAAAATGATGCACTGAGACTTCAAAAGGACAGTGACCTGTGTGTATGTGTGTGTGTGTGTGTGGGGGGGTAGTCTGACACGGAAATATATGTCTACATGCATAATGATCCGATCCGATCAGGATCATTAACATATCTCCATAAACATATACCATTTTGCCTGGTGAGGTGGCACACAGCTGTAACCCTAGCAACTCGGGAGGCTGAGGCAGGAGGATCAGGAGTTCAAAGCCAGCCTCAGGAACTAAGCGAGGCCCTAAGCAACTCAGCAAAGCCCTGTCTCTAAATAAAATTCGAAAGGAGGCTGGGGATGTGGCTCAGTGGTTAAGTGTCCCTGAATTCAATCCCTGGTACCTCTACCCCCCCAAAAAGTACCACCTGTATATGTTGTTTGTACTGAGAACATTCAAAACCCTCTCTCCTTTGTCAGCCTACAATTTCTGTCTTACTGGCCTTCTCTTGCTGACTCTTATTCTGTGGAGAGACACAAGGCAGGTTGCCCGATGGAGAGGCCCACGTGGTAAGGAACATGTGGCCAATAGCCAGTCAGGACCAGACGCCTGCCAACAGGCCTGCCAGTCATCTTGGAAAAGGATCCTCCCAGTTGATTTGAAATGGCTCCAAGTCCCAGCTGACATCCTACTTGTATCTTTGAGACAGACCCTAATTCAGAGGCATCAGATTTCTGACCACAGAAGATGTCAGATAAAAATTGTTGTTTTTAAGCCACTATTTTTTTGGGGGAAGGGTAATATGTTACACAGCAGTAGCTAACAGATACAGAGTCCCCAACTTATGACGGCAACATTTTTTAAAATTTACCGTGGTGTGAAGCAATATGCCATCACTAACCTATTTTAAATTTGGCATTTTGATCTTTTCCTGGACCAGCAACATGTGATGTGACAGAGTGGCAGCAAGTTATAGTTCAGGGACCTAGAAGAAGCCCAGGTCCCTGAGTCACTTCTTGAACCAAGGCCATTTTATCAGTCTGGAGAGGAGCAGAGAAAGAGAAATAAACTTTTAAGTTGGATGCCTGTTACAGCAACTAAATTTTGTTTTTTTCCAAACTCCCATGAACACACCCTCTTTTTTTTTTTTTTTTTTAATCAATCCTGTTCTGATCAGTGATAAGCAAGTTCTTACAGATCTGGTGCGTTCAGTAAATTTTTGGCATTTCCCCCCAAAACAGAGTTCAATTGTTAATGAGTATCGGCTTGTTTCTGGAAATCATAAGGCATCTGTATTAGTTGGTGTCATGTCACTGAAATGAAATACTTGGTACCGGCTACTTAAGAAGTTTCCTTTGGCTCACTGGTCTGGAGGTTCAAGTTCAAGATCAGGCGGCCCATTGGTGTGGGCCTTTGGTGAGGGTGGCGCACCATGACCAGGGCATGTGCCCCAGCAAATGTTCACATCTGGGGCCAGAGAGCGGAGAAAGAGAGGAAGGCAAGAGTCCACCACCCGGGTTGAGGGCATGTCCCTAACAACCTAGGGAGGGGGTCTCACTAGGCCCCCCAACCTTTGACGGTTCATAGCACCTCCCAACAGCGGCACCCACCCTTTTCCATACAGGTTTGGGGGGTAGGGACATATCTAAACCATAGCCGCAAACCACCACTAGCACACATTCCACCGTCCTGTAAACACCTCTCCTGTTTCTTTCCCTGGGGAGATTTCGTTTATGAAAGCTAGATCCTGTTTTCAAATTCTTTTCATGTCTTTTGAAATTCTCTCCTGTTAGCCAGCAGCCCTCTGGCAACCCACAGCCCCCTGGTGACTCAGCCGGCTGAACAAAACCATCCCGCTGACTCTCTACCCTGGCCTAGTTCTTCAAAGGAGACCCAGGCTGTTCATTACTAATCACCCCGTCCCAGGTATTTTGTGATAGCAGCACAAATGGCCTAAACGGTCCTGTTGTACACTCTTGCCTACACAGAGTGATGGGGCATCAAAGGACGGTGGCAAAGAGATGGCAAAGGAGACCCTATCGTTTTCCCACTGCTGTCATAACCAATCCCGTAATTTGTAACAAGGTGTGTCATTTTTGTAACACATTATCACAAATTCAGTAGCTTGAAACAACAAAAATTGTTCTTTTGCAGTTCTGGGGATGGGAGTGGGACTAAGCTCCCCTGCTCCAATGTCAAGGTGTCAGCAGGGGCTGCCAGGTGTGGTGGCCCACACCTGAAATCCCAGTGACTCAGGAGGCTGAGGCAGGAGGATCACAAGTTTGAGGCCACCCTGGGCAACTGAGCAAGACCCCCTATCAAGATAAAAAATAGAAAAGTAGCTCAGAGGTAAAGCACGCCTGGGTTCAATCCCCAGCAATTCTTCCTCCCTCTCCCCCCAAAAAAGGTGTCAGTAGGCTGGTTCCTTCTGGAAGCTCTAAGGAAAGAATCCATGTTCTTACCTTTTTCAGTTTTTTTGGGGGGGTGGGGGGAGGGGTGACTTTGTCGTAGTTTTTTGTTTTGTCTTTTCTTTTAAGAGACAGGGTCTCACTATGTTGGCCAGGCTGGTCTCAAACTCCTGGACCCAAGCGCTTCTCCTGCCTCCGCCTCCAAGTAGCTGGGTCTGCAGCAGCGCGCCACCAATCCTTCCCTTTTCAGTTTCTAGAGACCCCTGCGTTCCTTGGCTTGTGGCCTTCTCCTTCGTCTTTGAAGCACATCCCTCCAGCCTCTGCTTCCGCTCTCAGTCCACACCCCTCTGCCTAACTCCCCCTGGTCCCTCTTGGAAGGAGCTTTGCGATTTCATTCAGGACCCACCAGATAATCCAGGATAATCTCTTGATCGCAAGAGCCTTAACTTGACACATCTCCAAAGTCCCTTTTGCCAGGTTTTAAGGTGATATATTTGCAAATCCTGGGGCTCGGGATGTGGATATTTTCGATGTCCATTTCGATTCAATGGACCCCGGAGACCATCCGTGAATGAGACACCAACAGAACACGTTTCTGGTAGACAAATCAGGTGGAGGCAGAAGACATGGTTCACAGGGAAATGATGACATTTAGGACGGGGCTCAGGCAGGAGAAATAGAAAGTCTGGGGGTCCACCTTCAAGACGTCATACAGCCTTAACTGGAGCCACTTGGAGCCCTTCCCTTTTGCCCGCCCTAATTCTAAAGTTAGCCAATCACGGAGATTGAAGCCCAGAGCTCCTCCAATCAGAGTGGAGGGCAGCGCAGCGCTGGGTTTGAGGTAAGAGCAGGCAAACTGCCCGCCCAGGACCCTCGCTGGCACGACTACAGCTGGGAGCCAGCTTTCTGCAGAAGTGCATTTGCCTTGACGACCCGCTTCCCAGCACTTGTATGATTTCTTGTGGATGGTTGTTGTTGTTGTTATTACTTTTTTTTTTTTTTAACCAGGGATCGAACCCAGGAGCGCCTAGCCACTGAGGGACATCCCCAACCCTTTTTGTATTTTATTTAGAGTCAGAGTCTCACTGAGTTGCTTAGGGCCTTGCTAAGTTGCTGAGGCTGGCTTTGAACTTGGGATCCTCCTGCCTCAGCCTCCCGAGTTGCTGGGATTACAGGCGTGGGCCACCGCGCAGAACTCACTCCTCATTATTTCTAACCTGGGGAATAGGGAGCCCAGAATGACCCAGGTTGTGGAAAACATGCGACAATGGAGACAGAATGGCACCAATGCTAGTCAGTCTGAGCTTTCTGCCATCTCCCTCCCTCTTCCCCAGGGCACAGGCCACCCAACTTCAGGAAAACCAGAGCTGAAGGGTGATTCCATGGAGACTCAACTCTACTGTCCCAGGTGGTAACTAGGGTGGATGTTGGCATCTAAAATGGAAAAGAAAAAAAAAAAAAAAAAAACCTGGCAGCCAGCCCTATCCCTGAACTTGTAGCAGAAGGAAGGGAAGCCAGAGAGGAGTTCCAAGACTCTCACTCACCCACAGGGAGTCACCAGCCCAGCAGCAAGCCTCACCCGCAGGCTCAAAGCACCCATTCATACTGCAATGCAGGGTAGAGACCTGGTGCAAAAACAGCCCACTATTAGGAACAGAAAGTGCACCTCCATCACCCGCAGACACCAGCTGGATTCCTCTGAGAATACCAAGAGACAAACCCAGATGGGAACAGAAAATCTGCACTGAGCAGGAGAAAGCCTGAGTCAAAGCTACTTCAGTACCCAATAGGGTTGCAACAACCATATTTGATTGTTATGACTCTCTGATCTCTTTTTTGTTTTCATGTTAACTCTTTTTTTTGGGGGGGAGGGTACCAGGAATTGAACTCAGGGGCACTCAACCACTGAGCCACATCCCCAGCCCTATTTGTATTTTGATTATAGACAGGGTCTCGCTGAGTTGCTTGCCATTGCTGAGGCTGGCTTTGAACTCATGATCCTCCTGCCTCAGCTTCCCAAGCCTCTGGGATCACAGGTGTGCGCCAGGGCACCAGCCATATGTTAACTCTTTTGAAGAGTCCTGGCCAGTTGTCTTGGGGACGTCTCCCATTCTCACTACCTGATTGTTTCCTCATTGTTAAATTTAGGCTCAACACTTTTTCTTTTTCTTCTGAAATAAAGAAATTCCTTGTCTCAAAGTTCCAGATGGTACAAAAGAAATCAAGGTATCATTAGGGCCATGCCCTCTCTGATGGCTCTGGGGAAGAATCCTTCCTTGATTCCCCAGATTCTGGTGTTTGCTGGTAACCCTTGGCATTTGTTGGCCTGTAGGTTCGGTACTTCAATCACGTGGCCATCTTCTCCCAGTGTATCTTCACATCATCTTTCCTATACTTCTTCTGCAAAGGGGATGTAGCTCAATGTCAGAGAGCTTGCCTAGCATACATGCAGGAGGAGGCACTGGGAACCAGGATCGGTGGCACATGCCTGTAATCCCAGTGGCTCAGGAGGCTGAGGCAGGAGGATAGCAAGTTCAAAGCCAAACTCAGCAATTTAGTGAGGCCCTAAGCAATTCATCAGGGCCCTGTCTCCAAATAAAAAATAAAAAAGTCTGGGGATGAGGCTCAATGGTTAAGCACCCCTGAATTCAAAAAGGATCTGTATAGGCAATTTTGTGATGTATCCAGATGCATTTGAAGTCAGGATGTCCCAATGTTGGGGATACCATATGATCAGTTGGCTAGGAGGTGTCTTGCCTACCTCTCCCCACTCCACTATATAGGTACATCCCCCCAACACACACACCTTTGTAATGAAGTCATCTGTTGGATGTGAATTTTGGACCTTTCCCTAACAACATTTTACCTACGGCTTTACCATCCATTGATGATCCAATTACTGGAATGAGGACTCCCCTGCGTTGTTTCTAATTGATCTGTAATAAATAGCGATTGTCTGTAGAAGTAAATAATTTAGTGACTGTTGTAAAACTGTGTAGTCTGAGCTGGGCGCAGGGGTGCAAGCCTGTAATCCCAGTAGTTCTGGCAGCTGAGGCAGGAGGATCACGAGTTCAAAATTAGCCTCAGCAAAAGCAGGGCGCTAAGCAACTCAGTGAGACCCCGTCTCTAACTAAAATACAAAACAGGCCTGGGGATGGGGCTCAGTGGTCAAGTGCCTCTGAGTTCAATCCGCAGTACCAAAAACAAAACCAAAAAAACAAAACAAAAAGCTATGTAGTCTGCTTCTGGTTCACAGTCTCGGCTGGGCCACCGACAGGCTGAGCAGGGGCGCAGGATCAGAGGGACGTGGTGAATGGCGGAGGCGGCTTCAGCCCCAGGCCACTGGGAAGGGCTTGGGGAGCCGGGAGCCCGGCGCAGCGCCACCGCGGGGGCCTGGGGGCGGCGGAACCCGCCGAGAGGAGGTGCCCAGGGGGCGAACCCGGGTCCCGGATCTCAGGCAGCCACGTGGGGACAGCGCGTCTCCCGGGATCTCGAGCGCGGGACGGCTCCTGGCCCGGCCCTCCCTCCGGATCCGGGCGCCGCCCTCGCTGGCTCCAGGCGCAGCCGCCGGCGCAGGGCCACCTCCCGCCCGCGGGCCACAGCGCTCGGCCGCGGGTCCGGGCTCCGGATTGCAGCCGCCGGCCCCGAGGAGAGGACCGGCTGCCCAGAGCCGGGTCCCGGGGCTCCCTGGGGAGGCCGATCCCGGGGGGCCCCCCGACTGCCTCCCGAGCAGGGCGGGAAGACGACCCCGGTCCCCAGAGCCCTGCGAGCGGGCCGCCCGGGGAGCGCCGGACAGGTAGGGACCCAGGTGTGACCGAGGGCTCCGTCCTCACCCGCAGCGGGGTGCCCCCGGGGTGGGGTGGGTCCCCGGGCGACCCTGCGCCCCCTTCCCAGGCCCCCTCCATCCCAGCCCCCCGTAAACTCCAGAGTTCTGCAAACGCTCGGTGGGAAGCCCCGCACCGTCCTGAGCTTTGCTCTTAAAACGGGTCCCCAACGCGCACCCCGCCACCCCGACCCCCCCGCGGCTCCGCGGGTGTCGCCCTTCGCTACTCCCTGAACCGCCCCCCGGTCCCCAGGCTGCGCGTCAGGAGCCCGGGCCTCGGCTCTGCAGCCTGGGGGTGGCGGTGGCCACGCCTCCGCCTCGGAGTTCGCCCGAGTTACTTTGCAAAGCTCAGGATTTATTTATTTATTTTCCCTCAATGAACGTTCTCCTTGTTCCCTCAACTTCAGACAGCATCTGTTTGCTTCCCACTTTGAGAGAGTGAGATATTACGAAAGGGTTTTTAAATAAAGAGAAATGGCTTAAATGTCCTGGGAAGCCACCAGAAGAAAAGACAGTGGGACCCAGGGAGCCTGCGAGCTGGGGGGTGGGGGGTGGGGACAACAAACAGTCGTTTAAACACTAGCTGCTCTCCTGCTGGGCAGAGAGATCTATAATTTTTTTTTTTTTGGTAATTAATTTACTTTTCAAAAACGGATAAAGTAACTCGTAATCCATCGTGCATGTTTTTAAACTTTTTCTGCTATGGGTAAATGCTTCCAAATCTTAAAAGCAAACTTTTGGATTATTTCTTCATTTTTGAACCCTTAAACAATGTGTCCATTGATCCCTTGCTTAAAATAGGAGACGACTTTCATCAGCTCCACACTTCCTGTCTTTTCCATATGATCATAACATGATTCTTAGTTTCTCTATGGACTACTTTCCTAACATAAAATAATTTCTTAAACTTTTGTATTTCTAGGTTAGGGGGGTGGCTCAGTGGGCAAGCACTTGTCCAGCGTGCGTGAGGCCTCAGGTTCCATCCCCAGCACCACAATAAATAAATTAATTAAAAAATGAACTTGTATTTCTTATTCCGATAAATATGCCCATTATCTGTTGACACCTCTTCTTTGTAAGGCTTGGCTAAGGAGCATACTTTAAAAGATACATTAAAAAAAAAATAAATGGTCTCAATATACATGTAAATTATAAAATGTTTTTAGCCAATCAGGTTGTATATACAGCTCCTAAATCAAATAGAAGATGAGCCTACCAACTTTTTTTTCTGTGATTAAAAAAGTATAATTTCTTTAAGAAAAAATGAAATGGGCCGGGCATGGTGGCACACACCTGTAATCCCCGCGGCTCAGGGGGCTGAGGCAGTAGGATTGCGAGTTCAAAGCCAGCCTCAGCAACTCAGTGAAGCCCTAAGGAAGTCAGTGAGACCCTGTCTCTAAATAAAATATAAAAAAGGCTGGAGATGAAGCTCAGTGGTTAAGTGCCCCTGGGTTCAATCCCTGGTACCAGAAGGAAAAAAAAAAAAAAGAAGAAGAAGAAGAAAGAAAAATAAATAAAATAAATAAATGACAGTGGTTTGAATTAAGAAAACCAGAGCTGGGCACAGCGGTACAAGTGTGTAAACCCGGCAACCTGGGAGGCTGAAGCAGGAGGATCAGGAGTTTAAGGCCAGCCTGGGTGACTAGTAGCGCAAACAGAGGGAGTACAGTATGGCAAAATGTTCATTTTACTATTCTTCAAAGTTTTCTACATGATGAAAATGTTAAAAGAAAAAATTGGGAAACATAAAGCAAAATTATCTAGAAATGAAGAAAGAGATAGAGGAGATTCATATAGTGGCACAATCTACAGATCCTGTACATTAGGATTCAAGTCCCGGCTCTTAAACAAAATGATGGGCGTCCTGAGCTCCTGAGCTAGGCCCCAAGGGACAGGACCAACCAAAATGGAGTCACTCATGCCAAATGCTACATTATCACGGAAACTTTTAAAGAAGCAGATGAAACCCCAAACACACCATTTTTCCTAAAAACAACAACAACAACAAAAAAAAAACAACATTCCTGTCTACCTGAGTCAGTGTGTGAGGAAGTTCCCTTTGCCATAACCCCTCCAGAATGTAACCTAAATAACATGGTGTTGGCCAGTCAGCTTTTTTGGTCCTACTGTTTTGTTCCCTCGATCTCACCTTACAAAGCCCACTCTTCTCCCAAGGCTGGTAGGACCTCACATTCCGTACTGTAGAATGGAGGCTGCCAGAGCCGTGCACAGAGGCCCGTCATCCCAGCAACTCCGGATGCCGAGGCAGGAGGATCTCAAGTTCAAGACCAGCCTCAGCAACCTAGCAAGACTGTTTCAAAATAAAAAAAAAATAAAAAGGGCTGTGGGTGTAGCTCTGAGGTAGAGTGCCCCTGGGTTTAGATCCCCATTAACACACACACACACACACACACACACACACAAGGCCACCCTGATTTATGACTTGTGAATAAAAACTAATTCCATCTATAACTAAATTCGTTGTGATTTCGTCTCTCACCATGGCTCTACCACAGTCTTGCCAGGTGACTTTGAGCACGTAGCTTCTCTCCTCCAAATCTCAGTTTCCCCATGGGGAAAGCAATGTCCACCTCATGGAGTTGTTGGTGAGTTTTTCCTGAGGTTTTGTAAAGTACTTCCCACCAGCCCAGAGCAAAGTAGATGCTCAGCTAACAGGAGCGTTTGTTACCTGGTGAAGGGGTTTTCTTGACTCCCACCGTCTATTTCCTGTGAACACTGGTAACATCATGACCACTGGTGGGTCCTCCCTGCCACTTTTTTTTGCTTGGGATGGATTTTTGAACTGGGCATTTTTTGTCTTTTTTTTTTTGTTTTTTGTTTTCTTAAAATTCCCGGTGTGGTTTAGATTGTGCCCTAGGGACAGTTCTGGGTCCTGCGGTGTTTCATCTGGTGATTTCCTAAGGCGTCTCCCTCCCACATTCCTGGTCAGAGTTCCAGTGAGGCATGATTCCGACACATGGAGGCCCACGCTGGGGCCCCAGCTGCTAATCATAGTAACACGCTTCTCTCCGCGGCTCACATCTGTTGAGGGCCAGGCCCTGATCTCATCTGATCTCCCCACAACCGTGAGGCGAGGGGGTTACTAGAAGTCCGCGGGCGCATTTGGGAAACTAGACTTTTCCAAGATGAGGCAAACCCTGATAACCAGGGGGCCCTGGGCAACCAAACACATCCACAGAGAGGGCCTCCTCCTCCTCCTCCTCTGCGCTTTTGCTTTGGTTACAGTTTCCCTATGTCAACTGCAGTCAGAAAATCCGAAATGGAAAATTCCAGAAATGAGCACTTCACGAGATTGAAATGGCAGGCTGGTCTGAGGAGCATGGCGAACTCTCTTGACGCCCGCTCCTTCCTGCCTGGGGCGCAGATCCATCCTTTGTCCTGTGTACACAGCCCCCTCTTAGTTACTTGGAAGCTGCCTTCGATGTTAATGACCAGGTGGCTTGTGGCAAAACCCCGGGGCTCGGTTCCAGTCGCCCTTACACAGCAGCCTAGGGTTCGGCCACGAGGCCCGGATGCCTGCCCTTCACCTCTGTTCCTTCATCTCATCAGGCAGGCACCGTGGCATCTCACAGGATGACAGAAGGCGAGGACAGCCTCCTGCAGATGGGAGAGAGAGACTGCATTTGAAACTAGGCAATGGCACCTATCTGTGATCCCGGTGACTCGGGAGGTCGAGGCAGGAGGATCGCAAGTTCGAGGCCAGCCTGGGCAGCTTAGCCAGATCCTGTCTGAAACTAAAATTGAAAAGGTTGGGTTGGAGCCCAGTGGTAGAGCTCCCTTGGGCTCGATCCCCAGTACTGGGCCGGGGGCCGGGGCAGGGAGGGAGAGGAAAGAAGACAGAAGCTGAATTCAAATCACTTTTAAGACTTGGTGTTGTTAAAACTTTCTATTTTATTATTAGTCACTGTTTTGATCTCTCACGGTGCCTAATCTATAAATTGAACTTTGCCGTAGGTGTGTGCCCAGGAAAAAACATAGTCCATATGGGTCTGAGTACCATCCCTGGTTTCGGGCACCCCCTGGGGTCCAGGCCCCCCACCCATAAGGGCTCACCTGTCATCAGCAATTCCCCAAACCCATGGCCCTTGCTAGCCCCGTGATGCCCTCTTGCCCAGAAATTTCCCAGGACCCGGATGATGCACATAAAGAATGTCCTCAATACGGATGATTATTGTTTCCACTAAGATACAATTAGACGTGTCCTTCTCTGGTGTATATTATCCTGGTGTTCATTGATGGCACTATTTTTCTTATTTGCAAAATATAACATCCATACAGAAAAGGGTCCACATCTTGCTTGTACAATTTAACAGATAATCATAAAGCAACCACCTGAGGAACTTGTGTCCAGGTCAACAGGGCCATTGCTAGCTCAAGTTTTTCATTTGCTCCTTCTGGTTAGGAACCCTCTCTCTCCCCAGGAATCCACCTTCTGGACTTTGAGGGATCACCCTAATGACCCTGGGACAATAGGTATAGCCTAGGAAGTCTGCAGGACTCTTCTGTTTAACAGCCTTATTAAGAGGTGAGATTTAAAGCCAGTACATCCCAGTGGAGAGGCTGAGGCAGGAGGATCAGGAGTTCAAAGCCAGCCTCAGCACCTTAGAGAGGCCCTAAGTAACCCAGCGAGACCCTGTCTCTAAAGTAAAATATAAAAAAAGTTTGGGGATGTGGCTCAGTGGCTGAGCACCCCGGTTCAATCCTCACTACCACAAAAAGAAAAAAAAAAAAAAGGTGAAATTTACAAACTTACGAGCCATAAGTCAGCCCCCTTAAGTAGAAAACTCAGTGACTTTTCATGATCTTGCAGTTGCTGCAGCCATCATCACAGTTTAAGAGCATTTCTGTCACCTCCAGAAGCTCCTTTTGCCTATTTGTAGTCACTCTGTTCTCCCCCTGGCCCCACTGCAAAAAGACAGTGTCTGTATCTATAGACTTGCCTTTTTCTGAAC